CAAAAATAGGTGAAGGTCTTAAATAGATATTTCTCCAAAGAAGATACGCAATTGACCAGTAAGTACATGAAAAGATGCTTAGCATTCTTAGTCACTTGGGAAATGCAAATAAAAACCACAATGAGTTACTACATCATACCTACTAGGATGGCTATAATTTAAAAAAGTAAAGAAGCAAAAACAACAAGTATTGGAGAGGACATGAAGAAATTGGAACAACTGGAACCCTTGGGCATTGTTGGTAGGAATGTAAAATGGTGCAGCTGCTGTGGAAAATGGTTTAGGCAGTTACTAAAAAAGCTATAAAATTATCATATGATCCAGCAATTCCACTCCTAGGTAACCCATTCTCCAACTTTCAATTCTAGCAACCACTGATTTGTTTTCTTTCCTTACAGTTTTGCCTTCCAAAATATCATATAAATAGAATCACACAATACATTGCTTCTTATGTCTGACTAAGCAAAATTCATTTAAGATCTCCCTGTCTCACATGAATCAATGGTTTCTTTTTATTGCCTAGTTGTATATATCTATCAGTTTGTTTATCCACTCACCCGCTGATCCCTGATTTCATGGATAAATACCTTTGTATAATAGAATTTTGATACTATAAGGCTAAAGACAGAAGGCTAATAAAAAATAAATTAAAAAAAAAGAAGGCTAAAAACAAAACACTGCACTCTAGTTGGTAAATATGTATCTCACACAGGTCCAGTTTAGCAATTCTAAAACTACTTTCCACACATATTAGAATTGAACAAGTAAGTAAATATATTGCAGACAATGACAGCCAGGTTTGTATCTATGAAAGAAAGAAATTACAAACAAGCAAAGGGGAATGCCAGAATAAACCCTGTGGTAACAGTCTGGAATTAAAGATACCAGTATGAACTTATGTTTATTTTAATATATATACAGATGAATATATAAAGAAATAGATACAGGGTTAAAATACATACAAACATATGCTAGCTCTACACACTGAGAGGGTCTAGAAATAATGACTCTCTAGTTGCAACAAGAACAGCGAAAGGCCAGATTCGGGTTTCTAAATATCATTCTCCAATCAAAGGATCCACGATTCTTAAAAAATTATGGATTCTTGGGTTAGAGCACAGAAAACACAAGAGAAAAGCCAGGAGAAGCATCTTAGAGTGCCAGAAAGTACGTTAGTGCTTAAAAAGAAAACAAGATATGGGTTCCTTGAAGTGACACAGGAACCAACTCTTAGGAGCACCTGATGGTCAGTCCTGGGATAATTTGAACAATGCAATAAACAATGATAATAATTATAACCCAAAAAATAAAATAAATATCCTGGGGGATCCCTGGGTGGCTCAGCAGTTTGGCGCCTGCCTTTGGCCCAGGGCGCGATCCCGGAGTCCCAGGACTTCTCCCTCTGCCTGTGTCCCTCTGCCTGCTTCTCCCTCTGCCTGTGTCTCTGCCTCTCTCTCCTCTCTCTGTGACTATCATGAACAAATAAATAAATAATATTTTTAAAAAATAGATAAATAAATAAATATCCAAAAGTCAATAAATATCCATGAGACTATACAGATACAAATATACAAGTGTGTTAATAAATGAAAAGAGGCAATTCTTCCTACAGAAGAATTAAATTACAGGAAGAAAGGGGGAAATGGAACATCATCATTAGCTGTTGGCTTTAAAAAAACAAACCAATAAATAAAAAAACAGCCAGTCATTGCACTAGCAAAATGAGTTTATTCAAGAATAGCAGAGAATCGTAGTGCGGGACAAGCAAACTATGGAGAATGATAGGCAAGTCCAGAGAACAGAAGAGGGGGGTCTGCTTTTAGGGAGGAAAGGAAGAAGCTAGAAGGGGCTGTTTTCAAAGGATTCAGCGTAGCAACACCTTTCAACAGCAGAGTGTGGCAGTTTCTCAATGGCTGGGTTGTTGCTGGACAAGGTGAAACTCTTCCTTGTACTGGGGTATTTACATATCTAAGTTTCCTCCTGGTTATGGTCTGAGTGATAGTGTGTGAGAGCTTCCCCTTCAGGATTTTTGGACTCCATCTTTATTGAGGTTTCCATTATTTGTTTTCACAGTACCAAAGTAATAATTGCTACAGGCAACATCCACTGATGAATACTAAAATTTGTAAGTGAAACTTTAGAGAGAAACAGGGTATCCACATGGCCTCATAATATCTCTCATCAAATATTTATTAATAACTGTGGTGCTTTTAACATATGTCTCCAATTTCTTAAATACTCCCTCTAGGAGATGGATCTTAGATCCCCTAGACTAGACTTAATAACTCCAGTGGTCGAGACTTGGCAACTTACCCCAAAGAACCAAGTATGGAAAGAGGAAAATTGAAACTTTACAGTGGAGATACCTGGCCACACAACCTATGCCAAGTGAAAAAGGCTAAGATCAACATTAATAAGATATATTGATTTCATTTACCCCAAATCTGCAACCTCAGTCTTACCATGTAAAAAAAAAAAAAAAGCAAACCCAACCTGAAGAACACACTACAATACATCTAACCAGTACTCTTCAAAAGTAATTAAAGACAAAAAAAATCTCAGGAGCTGTCACAGATTGAAGGAGAATAAGGAGATGTGACAACTATAGGCAGTGTGGTATTCTGACCTGAATTGTGGAACAGAAAAAAAGCCTGAAATACCACTGAAATAACAGAAATACAAATAGTCTGTAGTTAATTGCATTTGTTGAACCAAAATTAATTTCCTAGTTTTGATCACTGTACCATGACTACATGAAATGTTAACATGTAGTTAACAGGTAGCTGGGTAAGAGAGTATATAGGAACTATCAGTAGCGTCTCTAAAACTCTTCTGTAAATCTAAAATTATCAAAATAAAAAGTTTAATTTTTTTTTAGCTTCAGGTAAAACTAAGGGCTTACACTCAACTCAGTACTTGAAATCAGTGGGTCTCACTCCCAGATGACTTAAACTAAAAATAACATATCGGTATTAACCAGTTGTAACTCACCTGTGCAGTTTGAACATATAAGTTGCCCAAACTAAAATCTCCCAGGAATTTGGCTAGGTTATCTGTCTCATTGTTGCTCTATGAGATGGCCCTACACAACCAGCTGCAGACCCCAGAGTACACAAAGAAGAATCAATCCCTTCCTCCTCCTAGCCACTACATCATGGATATAGATTAGCACTGGTGGGTGGACGACTGAGGTGGGATGAAGCAAATGGAAGTTGGTAATTGGCACTTTGTAAAAAGATGCTTAAAGCATAAAGAATGCAGTTATGTTCACCTCAGCACTTTCTCCTTACCTAAAATGCATGTAGCATTCAGGTACACAATTATCTTTAGGACAAGGCAGGGGATACTATCTAGTTTACAGTCCTTTTATTCCCTGAATTATTCCTACCTGATTACATACAAACTATACATCCCTACTAGTCTCTTTTTGACAACATCTAGAACAGGGATTTCCAAAGTGTCACTTCTAGGACTACATAAAGAATTAACTGAGATCGAGGGGTGAGCAGGAATTTTTGGACTTTGAATATTTCCAAAAAATCAATGAGTACATTAATTTACCTGTAATAAAGCTGCCCAGAATAATATAACTTTCATTTGCTATAGCTGGAATCATGGCAACTCAGCATGAACCAAAGTGCTGATTGACAGACATCTTTTTTATTTGTAAAAGCAGGGAGATAAATTAACTATTAATAAATGACTTCTGTTAATAGGCAAAAAAAAAAACCCACAAAGGGTTCATGGGGTGACAATAATTAGAAGCCAGGGTGCTACTTACTGGATAAGATGCCCTGCTCTCAGCTCTTGACCCTAGAAAGCCATCCCGCCATCAGAATCCTCTAATCCCCTCAGCACTTGTTTACCCTGGAATACCTTTTCTGGTGATGTCTGCCAGTACATTACAAGTGCTTGGTAATTTAATACCATCTTTATTGCCTTATGCATAGTCAAGAAACTATATACTTCATAGTATGTCTATGATTCATAAAGAGTTGAGTAAATACGTCTATTTTTATACCTTCAGGAACATAATTCTCTACTTAAAATAGTTTCCATAAGAAAGATAAATTTAACCTCCATCATGTTTGTTTATACTACTTTTCCAAGTTATAAATTCACTGTTGAGAACTATCTGTACTCACACAAGAATTTCAGCTCTTAGTAGAAGAACTTCCATGGCTGTGATATTTACTAGGGTTAGATTCTCCCAAGCTAAAACGGCATAGGTGGATTCAAGACAATTTGACAAGCACAGAAAATATTGACTTTTAGAACCATCTGATGCCAAAGATGATGAATACTTATAATACAGCACTTTATTTTTTAGGATACTCTGAAATGCTTCATAATCTTAAAATGTTTAAAAATCAATACCTCTTTTTACTTTATAGGTTGGTTTACAAAACATCCTTTAAAGGCTAAAAAATGACAAATGTAAATCCAATTTACCTAAGTATATTAAAATTTTAATAGAAGCAGAGAAGGTCCACCTACTCTCTCAGAGGCAGAAATACATATCTATATAACAGATCACTGAAGTTTGTTCAAAGATTAGTAAGTTAAAATTACAGAAAACATTTTAATAGGCTTAAATAAATTTATTTTTATTCAAAATCAATGATCTCAAATACATACCTCAAATGTGACACATAGTATTACCCCAAAGATAAATATTTCTTTAATCAATGGATAAAATAAATGAAAGAAAAGAACAGCTTCACCAAACCAAAAGAAAATATAAATATAAAAGAAAAAAAGAAAATATAAATATTCCAACCCTCTTTATTTAATCCCATTTTGTTTCCTAAAATCCAAAAATCAAGACAAGGATTAGGAGCATAGAAATATAAGAAAAATAATTTGGCATTATGTTTTTATAGTGCTAACCTGTATTTGTTTAAAATAACAGAAAAGCATAATGATAACATATTAGAATAATATGTTTCATATATTGGAATAATCATATATCAGAAAAAAAATCTTTTTTATTTCTTTACCTCTCTGAGATTTTTCTTGGCTTCTTTGGGTTGAATGAACATCAGTACTTTCAGCTTTTTGAAATCTTTGCTCTGTAAAACAAAGTGTATTTACATTGAATGCATTCTTCCTGTACTCATATACACAATTTCTTCTAAAAATTTGGACAGGATTTATAGCCTAGGGAACATGTTATTTTTATGTAATTTTAACTTTACACATAAACTTTGCTGAAATAACTTTAAGAAATAGATTTACTTAAAACAATTGAAGTGCCAAGTATGGAATTCACTGGTGATGTTACAGATAGACAAGTTCACTTATAACTAAGATAATAAAATCATTATACAAGTTGAGAATTGTTTACATGATGAAAAGCTATTTCTTGAGTTATGAATATGAGTCACCCCATAAATCTAGTTCAATCTCATGTCAACTCAGAGATCACAATCATCAAAAAGACTTCATAAACCTATTCAAGAGCTTCAGTAGTCCTTTTCATCTAGGGAATTCAGTTTCAAAATAGTGTTACAGACTAAGGGCTATGCTCTAAGGTAAAATGCAACTCAGTTCAGTTGAGTTTATATACCCAATAGATTCTGTTTCTTTTTTTTTTTAAAGATTTATTTCTTTTATTCAGAGAGAGAGAGAGAGAGAGACTGAGAGGCAGAGACACAGGCAGAGGGAGAAGCAGGCTCCATGCAGGGAGCCGGATGTGGGACTCGATCCCTGGTCTCCAGGATCACACCCCAGGCTGCAGGCGGCGCCAAACCGCTGCGCCACTGGGGCCGCCCTAGACTATGTTTCTTTAACATTTTATTCCAGGTCTTGGGCATCAACATAAAAGTATGATTACCCTCTATTATCTTGATATCAGTTTACTCTTCACACTCCATACTCATTGATGAGAATCTGAACATAGATCTAACATACTCCAAGACTTATTCTGTTAACTTCTTTGCTATTAACAGTAGTAGTAATAATAATAATAATTTATTGAGCACTTAGTATGTTTCAGGCACTATTCCAAACATTTTACATGTATTAACTCATGAAAGTAGTTTATATCTTTAGGCTTTCTATATAAGCAAGAGACTCTCTTGGTTATTTAACATACCTATGAATGACATACAGAATTTGCTGACTTAATTCTTCTGGTTTTTAGCAGCTTAAAAAAAAAAGAATCAATGACAGCAGCACCATAGTGTACAAAGCAATATAGCAAAGATGATACAATACATAATAATTAAGTCAAGTAACTTTGCTCCACCATACCTCCTGCTGACATTGGGAACTACATCATATAATGTAAAGCAAATTAACACTCCCATCTTGGCTGGCACGGTTCTAATGGGATGTTATTCACATGAGCTCATGAAAAATGAACTTTTAACCAGTTTGACCCTATAATCTCAAATGAATGCCAGCAACCAGAAGAAAAATATTATTGATATGATTAATAATTTAATTGCATCAAATTTTTTTAAGAACAGAAAAAAGTGAATTATTTGATGCCAACATATTCCCCAAATGCATAGGAGCTAAATATAGGAATTTAACTCTCTGAAGCATAATAAACTGTAATTTTCACAATTAAATTTCACTTTATGATAGAATATATATATAAGCAGTAACTCAAATTATTTTCAATATTAAATATATTAAAATTTCAAACAGATCTATGAAACATGTATCACTGTGAAAAGAGCCAATACATTCATATGCATATAAAAAATGGAGGGAGGGGTACCTGGGTGGCTCAGTGGGTTAAGCATCTGCCTTCTGCTTGGATCATCATCCTGGATTCCTGGGATAGAGGCCAGCATTGGGCTCCCTGCTCAGCGGGGAGCCTGCTTCTCCCTCTCCTGCTCCCTCTCTTGTGTTCACTCTCTTTCTCTGTGTCACTTAAATAAATAAAATCAAAAAAGAAAAAAATAATGGATGGATATATACCAAATTGTTACAACTGACCATCTGTCATCTTAGGGATGGAATTTGTAGTCATTTTTATTTTCTTCTTTATAACCTTTCTGTAACTGCCAAATTTCCTACACTTAACTTGTATTATCTTATTTCCAATTTTTAAAAAGCTACAATTTTCTCATTATATAAGTCATATGTTTACATTTAAAAGTGAAAATCTAATGAAAGTCCACTTAACCCTTATTCATTGCTTCACCATGTCTGCATTCAGTTCCCTTTATATGCATTTCAACCACAGTGCATACCATTAGCACTGGAATGCTAATACTAATGAATGTTTAATTGGCTGTCTTCTTTCCTATACCATAAACTACATGAAGGCAGGGACTAACTATATCTGATTAATTACTATAGCCCGTACCTACTACAATGCCCAGCAGAGGTAGGCACCCAATAAATAGCTGTTGAAATTATGTTGTTTCCTTTAAAAATTATAAATTATAATAGGATCAGCATTCCTCCACATACGAATTTGTGCACTAATCCAATTACTCTCATGGGGTAAATTTCTAAAACTAGAACTGCAGAGACAAAGGTATGCACATTTTGAATTGTATATACATTGTCAAATTGCCCTCCATAATCCCTGAAGAAATTTACATTTCCACCAGCAATGGATGAAAGTGTCCATTTCCCCATATCCTTGAAACACTGAGTATTGCCACCATAAAAACAAAACACAAAACAAAAAAACACACTTTTGTGAAGGAGATAACATTACTAGTCATCACTTTTATATCAGAAAAAAAATTTTAAGATATTACAGATTTTGCTATTCTTAAAACCACATAGCTATTAAAATAGATAAAAAATACTAACCAAATTATATTTAGAATGATTGCTCATGCTGAATGAGCATACTAGTTCATTAGCTGAATGATTCTTTATGTTCAAGTAAAACAATGCTCATTCTTCTGCTCAACTCTTTTCAATGTACCCAAAGGGAAGACAATACAAATATTAAAAAAAAATAAGTAAGTATAGAGTACATGTATAAGAAAACAATCTAACATGGAGATAAATTGGAGTACATCATATACAGGTTCATGTGCAAGTTAGGTCTGGGAAAGAACTCTAAGGTATGGATTCAAAAAACAAGGGGAAGTGGGTAGCCTACTATGAAGGCAGTTATATGTTGCTCTGACAAATTAAGTTGGAAAATGCTGTCTTGCTGCTCTAGAACTGCATTTCCAAAAGCCTACTGTCACTGTCCACAGGAATGCTTACCCAAACTCAGTGTGTCCAGAATAAAAATAATATTCCTCCTCTAATCCCCAGAACACTTCATTAATTTTGGATGCAAGCCATGATGCTATATCTGGACTGGCACTGTCCAAAATGTAAATAGGGCTAGTACAAATTGAGGTGTGCTAGAAGTGTAAAATACCCACTGGACTTCAAAGACTTAGTATGAAACAGAATGTAAAATATCTCCTCAATAATTTTCATATAGATTACCTGTTGAAATGATCACGTTTTAGAGATATGGGCTGAAAATTCATTATTAAAAATAATTTCACCTTTTTTTATCCCCTTTTTCAATGTGGCTACTAGAAAATTTAAAATTATATAAGTGGCTCACATTTGTGGCTTGTATTATATTTCTATTGGGCAGAGAGGATCTAGACCATTGAGATCAAGGGCCAGATGAAGCTAAGCCATCAGTGTTGTGCCCTAAGAATCCTCCAAAAAGTACCAAAGAGTGAGAGGAGAAAGATACCTGTGAACCCGGTCTGGCTAGGATCTCAAGACATTGATGAAAGAGATTTATAGAGGCTGAGCAGGAGCATAAAGCAAAGCTGACAAAACTATGTTTTTGAATGCCAGATCATATAAAACTATTGCTCTCATTGTGTTCCCTCTGAGTTGCTTTTGCCAGAGCTTTTGGCAGTGTCTCCGAATATCCTAACCATGTCTGAGCTACACCACAAGGTAGCAATCTTGGGCTGAAGGGTTACGATGGAAAGGTGTATCTCCCACAGTCAGGAGTGACCAAGAAGAGAAGTCATTCTATCATTTTCTTTACACAGTAAAGCACTAGATTAGCAGCAAAGCTCCTGTAATATATTTCATTATGTTAAAAAAAGAGAAAGCCATCTGACACATATTTGAAACAGTGGATTGTCTGTCTTCTCATAGAAATACATATGTCTAGTGAATAAGGAATAAAACTATGAAAATCTCACAACCCAATGTAGCAGAGTAGTTGTATAGGCTGGGTTTCACAGAAACAGAGCTTGAGATGAGGATTTTTTTGCAAATGATTTGAGGTTCTCAGGTAAAAACTGTAAGTGAAGTAAACAGGATGAGGAAAAGGAAAGAAGCAAGGGAAAGATGTGGGTCCAGCTGCAGTCCACCCCAGCTTGATCCACTGGTTGCTATAGAGCAGAAATGACATGGCAAAAGGGTTCCTCTTTAAGGCAGGAGGTACCCCCAATATCTGTCATCCTTTCACTACAGGCCACACCTGGGAGTCTTGGGATTCACCCTCCTGGGCATTTCTTGGCAGGGCAGCTTCATCAAGAGGCAATTCTTGAGAGAAGGTATAGCTGTGAGCTGTTGGCAGCCAATACTCATAGCACCTGGAAAATGGAGGTACCGACCTACCTGAAAAATTGTTTCAGTTTTCCTCCATAAAGTGGGACTAATGATAGCAGCTCTTTTATATGCTTGTCAAAACTTAGTAATAATGGATGAAAGCATTCAGAATAGCATTTTATGTTACATAATATATATAATTCACTTAGAATTACACATAGCACATAGTAAATGCTCAATAAATGTTATGTTACTATTATTGTGTCCTCAGAAGTACCTATATCAGGTGTCTCATTGCCCAAGTGCTATAAGGTATCCACAACTGAGACTTCTATTCAAACATTAGTTAAGGGCAATCTAAAGATTCCACATCCAGGTGACTGCCTAGATAAATGTGCACATCATTTTTATCTGACATTTTCTCAAAGTTCAAAATCAAGTAAGGGTAACCTTTTTTGTGTTTGTCATTAATGAATAGGGATGGGTGTGAACAACAGGGAGTTTTCCTTAAGAACAGGAAAAAGACAAGGATATCTACTCTCATCACTTTTATTCAACATAATACTGGAAATCCTAGCTATAGAAACCAGACAGGATAAAGAAATAAATGGCATCAAAGTTGGTAAGAAATAAGCAAAACTGTCACTATTTGCAGATGACATAATGCTATATATAGAAAACCCTAAAGACTCCACCAAAAAACTACTAGAACTGATAAATTCAATAAAGTCACAGGACACAAAACTAATATACAGAAACCTGTTGCAGGGATCCCTAGGTGGCGAAGCGGTTTGGCGCCTGCCTTTGGCCCAGGGCGCGATCCTGGAGACCCTGGATCGAATCCCACGTCGGGCTCCCGGTTCATGGAGCCTGCTTCTCCCTCTGCCTGTGTCTCTGCCTCTCTCTCTCTCTGTGTGTGACTATCATAAATAAATAAAAAATTAAAAAAAAGAAACCTGTTGCATTTCTATACACTAATATAGCAGAAAGTAGCAGAAAAAATTAAGAAAACAATCCCATTTACAATTTTCCCAAAAAGAACAAAATATCTAGGAATAAACTTAGCCAATGAGGCTATACTCCACAAACTATCAATTTTTTTTCAAACTATCAAATATTAGTGAAAGAAATTGAGGATGACACAAATGAATGTATCAGGAGAACAAATTGTTAAAATGTCCATACTACTCAAAACAATCTATAGATTTAATGAAACCCCTATCAAAATACCAACAGCATTTTCATAGAACCAGAGCAAATAATACTAAAATTTGATTGGAACTACAAAGACCCTGAGTAGCCAAAGCAATCTTTAGAAAGAATGAAGCTGAAGGTATTACAATCCCAGATTTCAAAATATACTACAAAGCTATAGTAATCAAAACAGTATGGTAATGGCACAAAAATAAATACATAGAACAATGGAACACAATAGACAGCCCAGAAGTAAACCCGCACATATATGGCCTATTAATCCATGACAAAGGAGTCCAGAATACACAATAGGAAAAAGTCTGTTCAACAAATGGTGTTGGGATAACTGGACAACTATAAGCAAAAGAATGACACTGGACCACTTTCTTATACTATTCCCAAAAATGAACTCAAAATGGATTAAAGACCTAAATGTGAGGTCTGAGTCCATAAAACTTCTAGAAAAAGACATGGGCAGTCATTTCTTTGATGTCAGCTATAGAAACATTTTTCTAGATATATCTCCTCAGGCAAGGGAAACAAAAGCAAAAATAAACTATTGGGACTACACCAAAATAAAAAGCTTTACATAGCAAAGGAAACCATCAACAATACAAAAGGCAACCTACTGAATGGGGGAAGATATTTGTAGGTGATATGCTTGATAAGGAGTCAGTATCAAAAATACATAAAGAATTTACACAACTCAACATCAAAAAAATTTGATTTTATTTTTTTTTAAATTTTTATTTATTTATGATAGTCACAGAGAGAGAGAGAGAGAGAGAGAGGCAGAGACACAGGCAGAGGGAGAAGCAGGCTCCATGAACCGGGAGCCCGACGTGGGATTCGATCCCGGGTCTCCAGGATCGCGCCCTGGGCCAAAGGCAGGCGCCAAACCGCTGCGCCACCCAGGGATCCCCAAAAATTTGATTTTAAAAATGGGCAGAACTGAATAGACATTTTTCTTTTTTTTGAATAGACATTTTTCAAAGAACATGTACAGATGGCCAACAGACACATGAAGAGATGATCAACATCACCAGAGAAATGAAAATCGAAACCACACTGAGCTATCACCTCACACCTGTCATAATGGCAAGAATCAAAAAGATGGGGGCGGGGGAGGGGGCAGCATCAGCAAAGATGTGGAGGAAAAGTAACCCTTGTGCACTGCTGGTGGGAATGCAAATTGTGCAGCTATTGTAGAAAATAGTATGGAAGTTCCTCAAAAACCAAAAACTTAAAAACAGGTTACCATATGACCCAGTAATCCCACTTTTGGGTATTTACCCAAATTAAAAAATATATATATCATTAATTCCAAAAATTATATGTAACCCTATGTTTACTGCAGCATTATTTACAAGAGCAACCCAAGTGTTCATAAATGAATGGATAAAGATGTGGTTTATCTATTAAAAGGAATAATACTCAGTCATAAAAAATGAGATCTTGCCATTTGTGACAACATGGATGGACCTAGAGGGTATAATGCTAAGTGAAGTAAGTCAGATGGAGAAAGACAAATACCATATGATTTCACACCTATGTGGAATTTAAGAAATGCACAATTAGGGCAGCCCGGGTGGCTCAGCGGTTTAGCGGCCGCCTGCAGCCCAGGGCGTGACCCTGGAGACCTGGGATCGAGTCCCGCGTCGGGCTCCCTGCATGGAGCCTGCTTCTTTCTCCCTCTGCCTGTGTCTCTGCCTCTCTCTCTTTCTCTGTGTCTCTCGTGAATAAATAAATAAAATCTTTTTTAAAAAATGAAATAAACAATTAAAAAAGACAACAATAGGCTCCTAAAAACAGAGAAAAACTGGTGATTGCCAGAGGGGAGGTAAGAGGAGGTTATGAGTGAACTAGATAAAGGAGATTAAAAGTACACTTATCTTGATGAGCGTTAAGGAATGTGCAGAATAGTTGAATTACTATACTGTCCCCCTGAAAGTAATATAACACCGGACGTTAGTTATAAACTCCATTTTTTTTTTAATAAAAAATGAAAGGGGGCAGCGGGGTGGCTCAGGGGTTTAGCACCGCCTGCAGCCCGGGGAGTGACCCTGGAGACCTGGGATCGAGTCCCGCATCGGGCTCCTGCATGGGGCCTGCTTCTCCCTCTGCCTGTGTCTCTGCCTTTCTCTCTCTCTCCGTCTATGAATAAATAAATAAATAAATCTTAAAAAAAAAAAAAAAAAGGAAAGGGTAGCTGAATAACAAGAGTGGGTATACCTCAACATTGGCTGAGATTTGCTGCTGCGGCAGACCCTCACTAGATGCGATTCCTCACCCAGCTCCGAGGAGGAAAACCAAAACCAAAAAAGCAAACCCCTCTCTCACCCACGCTGTGGGACCCCAATCCCAAGACCAGAGTCTTCCTCCGGAGTCTCCACAAAGCTGCACCCCGGGACCCTCGGAGGGACACTTAAAATCAGCCCCAGGGGCCAAATCTCTGATTCCTGCATTCTCCAAAGGCACATGTAGAGAACGCAGACTCTCCCTCCTCTTCGATCTCGTAGTTTTGGAGACCTCGGGACCTGTCAGTCGCAGCGGGCCGAAGAGGGCGGGATGGGTGAGCGGCACAGACACGGTCCTCAGCAGAGAGAAGGCAGCGATCCTCCCGCGTAGGACACCGAGCGCACTCGCGGGGGGAGCGGGCTTCGCGGCGCGGCCGCTTCACCCCGGGGCCTGGCGAAGGCGCTCCGCGGCCCGGCGGGCTTCGGAACCAGCGCCCCCAGGCGGCCCCCGCGGGGGAGGCGACCCCGGCCCGGCGAGCGGACACCGGAGACGCTGTCGTTACCTTCTCGAGTAACCGGGTCAGTCCGCAGGGGAGCGCCAGGACCCCGCCCGCCAGCAGGGGCCTTCCCCTCGCCGCCGCGGGCTTGGGACCGGCCGCCGCCACCCGGGAGCCTCCCGGGCTCGCCCTCTCCGGGGACGCCCCGGGGACTCCGCTAACTCCCGCGAGGCTGCGGGGGCGGGATGCGGGCGGGGCTAACGGAGGGGCGGGGCTCGCGGAGGGGGCGGGGCGCCTGCCTGACCCGCCTCTGGCCCCGCCCCTCGGCCGGAGTGGGCAGCGCTTTAGGCCTTCCCGCGTACAAGCTCCTTAAGTTAGGAAGGAAGCTCTGGGTGTTATACTATGTATTGACAAATCAAGCTCCAATAAAAAAATATACAAAAAAAAAAAAGAAAGCGGGCTGTTAAAGTAAACAGCTTGGGGCACCCGAGGTGGGGGGTGCTCCATAGTTGAGCATCTGCCTTCAGCTCAGGGCATGATCCCAAGGTCCCCATCGAGTCCCACATCAGGTTCCCCGCAGGGAGCCTGCTTCTCCCTCTGCCTGTGTCTCTGCCTGTCTCTCTCTCTCTCTCTCTCTCTCTCTCTTTCATAATGAATAAATTTTAAAAGTTCAAAAAATTTTTAAAAAATGGAAGCCCACGGGTTAGCTGGGGTTGGGGAAGGAGGTGCTATAATGCAGCTAAAAAAGAAACCGCGTGCATGGAGGTGGGGGATACGAACTTCTATTTTTATTTGCAAACTCCTAAGGATAAGCTGTGGAGGTCGACGTAATATTTACATTCGTTCTTAAAAGAATGTGACTCTAAAAGAAATTTAGCGGGAGGGAGGGAGACCTTCAGGGTGGCGACCAGGACGGAGGTGCCCTTAGGTGCAGGTTTGAGAAGCGTCGCTGTGCACGTGGGGGCTGCTCTTGAGCACGAGTTCCCGCCTGCGGGCTGCGCTGCGGGTCGGCTCTAGGACAGGCCCTTGGCCTGCGCTCCTGGTTGAGCTGGTCCCCACCTCACAAGCCCAGGTCCAGGTCCGGAGAGGACCGCAGACCTGCCCCTAAACAACCTCCTTTACGGGAGAAGTTTGGATCTCGCACCTGAGCCCTCATGGAAAACCCTCAAATGATGGGGGATAAAAACCCATAGGCATAACTTTAGGGAAGTGGGCGGTAAAAGCCAGCGTCTCCACTTTGGCTTCAGGATAAACAGTACTCAAGGCTCAAAGGAAGCCTGGAAGTTCTTTTCCTTGGCTAGTTTATAAGTGATTGCTTATCAATTTGGTGGGGCAACTTAACAACAAAATAAACCCATTTGCTTTCAATTTCATGGGAAACGAAGTTAAATACACTTTGGTTATTTTTAAGTACTTAGAATGTCATCTAGCAGTGGTCGCATGATGAGTGGTCCTCCGCAGTGTTCGCCGGTTGTTCCATGAGAAAGGCCTCAAAAGAGAATTATGCCAGAATTCTAGGGAATCTCGATGGCAATATGCATAACTGGGAGAAAATACAAAAGTAGAAGGTTGCCTTTTTATGTTTCCTTGGCAGCAAAGAGTAGCAAGTTTAAAGCTTTATAAAAAGTTAAATTGTCTTTGGAAGATCCTCCAAGTGTGAAGGGCCGTAGGAGAGCAACACAGTGAACTGGAAAAACCTATCAGTTCTCCCCTATGTCTTCCTCCTGCGTTTCTCCTTTGGGACCCACACAAAACACTTCACTTCTGGTCACCAAATGGAGCAGGGAAGGAGGGGTTCTCCACATCAAGCAATTATCTGTGACACCAGTTGGGAGACCTACAATTTAACTGGATTTGAACGCTATCTGTGTGAACTTAGTGTCAGATCCCACAGGTTAAGGGCTCAGTTCCACAAGACTGCTCCCATCCTACTTCAAATACCAATTGCAAACAGTAGATTACCAACAACTTTGTCCAATTTGGCTACAAATTGGAGTTTCCCACGATATTTTTCCCCTTGGATTTTATTGCTTGCTAGAAAAGCTCACAGAACTTAGGGAGAAACTTAAGTTATGCTTACGTTTACTAAAGGATTTGATAAAGGATACAGATAAACAGCCAGATGAAGAAGTACAGGGTGGCACAGGAGGTCTGGGAGGGTGCTGACCATAGGGGATTCTGTTCCCATGGAGTTGGGGTGCATCACCTTGCTCTCCAAACCCCATGTTATTGGCATTTTTATGGAGGCTTCCTCATATAGGTACAGTCGATTATCAACTCCCATTTCCCCCCTCTGGAGAAGTGGGGGGCAGGCCTGAAAATTCCAAGCTTCTAATTATGAGTTAGTTTTTCTGGGGACCAGCCCCCATCTAGGAGCCGTCTAGGAGCTTACTCAGAGTCACCTGAATAAAACAGAAAATGCTTCTTAGTGGTCTTAACACCTAGGAATTAACCACATATTATGAGCCTGGTGCCAGAAATGGTTCCTCATTGGTCTGAGGATAAACTCCCAACTTTCTCATTAGATTTTAAAGGCTCTTTATAGTTGGCCTCACTCCTTCCACTTATTTCTTTAGCCTCACCTTTTTTTTAAAACCTTCCCTGCCTCTCCATCTCCTGCCACATCTCCTTCCCAAAGGCTCTTGTTAAAATACTCTGATTTCCTCTACATATAGGAATGCCTCTTTGATCACTCAGCCTGAAATGCTCTTTGGCCCTTTTTTTCCCTCGCTGGCTCTACTCTTCCATCAGGTCTCTGATTAAACAATTTTCTCCAGGTAGTTTCCCAGGCTCTCCCCCATAGGCTCTTAGAACCACACCATACCTTCACCACAGCATCTGTCATGCAGTATTGTAATTGGCCATTTCCCCCTATTTCATCACCAGACTAAGCTACTATGCTGTACCCAAAAGGAAGCTAGACCTGTAAAGAACCTGAGCTTTCAAGTCCAAAAAGCTGGTTCCAACCCCAGTTCCTGCATTCATAAGTTGTGTGCCCTTCAGCAAGTTTCTTACCTGTCTGGTGTCAGTTTCTGATCTGTAAAGAAGGAGGATCACTATAAAGATTACTGAGACAGTGCATGTGAAGCATTTGCATATAGCCAGGCAATTAGTAGATGCTCACTAAAGAGGAGTTATAAATGGCAACAGTTCTGTCCCAAAGTATCCTCCCTAGACTGAACTCCTCTCACAAGAGTGGACACCTTATCACCATTAAGTGGAGAGAGAGGAAGAAGGAAATTATGATTTTCCTGACCCTCCAAAATCCTTGTTAGTTGTATATACTTACAGAGGTTATTTGATCTTTCATTCTTCAATTTCTTTATCTAAACATGTGTAATTAGTATTATCATAGGATAGACATGAAAGTACTTTCAGCAGATACAGCATTTTGAAATGGCATATTCCTTCCCCCCCTTTTTTCTCAAAAGCAATGTGATTTTAGGACATTAAAATAGTGAAACCAGTTGGGGGCTAAGATACCATAAATAATGTGAAACAGCATACCCTCACTTTAAGCCCTGATTCTTATTTTCCTTCCTGTATCCTTTATACCAAAAAAGACAAGAAAAGTTGTAAAACAAGTTGTTGGGAATTTCACTACACTTTCTGCCCTCACCTACCAAGACAGTAGTGAGACAAGCCAAGCAAGTGAGCAGTTCATATGAGAAGCCTCAATAGTCAGGAAAATCTGTATCCTGCACAACACAGCCTTGGAAAATTGAGATTAGATTTTTCTTACAATTTATCATCCATCTGAGATAGACACTCTATTAGAAGTAGAAAATACATTAGCATTCTGGAAAAAAAGAGAAGATTGAGCACACACATATCTAATTTTGCTTCTTCTGATGTCTATAAAAATGGGAGTAAAAAGGTTGTTTTAAAACACACAAGATATGGGCAGCCTGGGTGGCTCAGCAGTTTAGTGCCGCCTTCAGCCCAGGGCATGATCCTGGAGACCTGGGATCGAGTCCCACGTCGGGCTCCCTTCATGGAGCCTGCTTCTCCCTCTGCCTGTGTCTCTGCCTCTTTCTCTCTCTCTCTCTCTCATGAATAAATAAATAAAATCTTTAAAAAATAAATAAATAAATAAAACACACAATAAAAGAATGAGAGAGGAAACACTACAACAAGATATAAGGAGCTGGAAAACAGTGAATGAGTGATAATTCACTCAAGAGAGCTGACTTGGAACTAACTACTAAGCCTGCAGAGGGAAAGCTCAGAAGCAACAACCCAGTTCCACTATAGAACCCCAGAAAGATCTAGAATTGGCAGCACCAGCTACCTCTGAAAGTGGGGGCAAACATAGGATTATTGAAGGACTGAATAATGTCTGTTTAAGAAGCTGCTGGATCCTCACATCACTTTTTCCCCACTCTGTGTGGTGGATCAAACGTTTCTCCACCACCCCATCCAAACACTGGAAGTTAACTCTCTGGAAATAGGAAGCAGTTTCTGAATTAGGAGACATCAGGCACAGATAAGGACAGAAGTATTGTACTAAATCCAGAAATATTAACAAAATATTTATATACTAAATATTATCCCCCTACGCCCCTGTCTAATCTCTCTTTTTTTATTTTTTTTAATTTTTTATTTACTTATGATAGTCACAGAGAGAGAGAGAGGCAGAGACACAGGCAGAGGGAGTAGCAGGCTCCATGCACCGGGAGCCCGACGTGGGATTCGATCCCGGGTCTCCAGGACCGCGCCCTAGGCCAAATGCAGGCGCCAAACCGCTGCGCCACCCAGGGATCCCTAATCTCTCTTTTTTTTAATGAGCTCTGGAATGAAGTGAGCCAGGACTAATCTTTCAAGCAGGGAATTGGAAAATACTTCTTTAGGGAACATGAGTAATCCAAATCAATATATATATAAAGATACCCACAAAATTTTCCTGCCAAATCACCCTTCAGTGAATTTCATAGTCAAAAGCCCAGACATTCCAATCAGTTCAGGGCTCTCA